ATCCGCCTCGAAGGCGGACATCCACGGACACGTCCGCGGCCCCGCGGACGAGTCCGCGCGGACGCGCGGACGTGCGGACCCGTGGCGGCCGATAGGGAGGTCCGTTCGGAATTCCGAAAACGGCTCCCGGCGGCGCATCGGCGTCCCTAGGTCTGCGCACCGAAAAAAAAAAAAAAAAGTAATTTTCAGTGGGGGTCACTTTTGGTTCCCTATGGCCCCCCCGGAAAAAAATACCCCCACCCCCTTTTTGCGATTTTTTCGAAGCGGGGGTGTTCGACACGTCGCAATGTACGTGTCGACCAAAAAAAAAAAAAATTCCGGCGGTGGTTGGGGGTTTGGGGAGGGGGTTATTCATTATGGGCTTTTGTTGCGTGTTGGGGTGGCAAATGGTGTGGGTTGGAAAAAGTAGGTCGGTGGGGACAGTTTGGGGGGCGCCCGTTTGCTGTCGGTGGGGCCCGTTACGGTGGGGCCCGTTTGGGTGGGACCGGCTTGGTGGGGCCCTTCTGCTGGTTATCTCATCCCATTTGGTGGGGCCCGTTTGGGTTGGTGGGGCCCGTTTGGGTGGGGCACATTTGGTGGGGCGCGTTTGGGTAGGGCCTGTTCGGGTCGGGCCCGTTTGGGTGGGGTCCGTTTGGCGGGGCCCGTTTCCCTGTTATCTCATCCCATTTGGTGGTGCTCGTTTGGGTTCTTGGTGCCCGTTTGGGTGGGGCCCGTTTGGGCGGCCCATTTGGTGGGCCCCATTTCGGTGGGTCCCGTTTGGTGGGGCGAGTTTCGTGGGGCCCATTTGGGTGGTGCTCGTTTGCAGTGTGGGCGGCCCGTTTGGTGGGGCCCGTTTGGGTTGGTGGGGCCCGTTTGGGTGGGGCCCTTTTGGTGGGGCCCATTTGGTGGGGCCCATTTGGGTGGGGCCCGTTTAGGTCGCGCCCATTTGTGTGGGGGGGCCGTTTGGCGGGGCTCGTTTGCTGGTGATCTCATCCCATTTCGTGGTGCTCGTTTGGGTTCGTGGGGCTTGTTTGCGGTGTGGGCGGCCCATTTGGTGGGGCCCATTTGGGTGGTTCCCGTTTGCAGTGTGGGCGGCCCGTTTGGTGGGGCCCGTTTGGTGGGGCCCATTTGGCTGGGGCCCGTTTGGTGGGGCCCGTTTGGTGGGCCCCATTTGGTGGTGGTTATCTCATCCCATTTGGTGGTGCTCGTTTGGGTGTGGGCGGTCCGTCTGCTGGTTATCTCATTTGGTGGGGCCCGTTTGTGGTGGTGCTCGTTTGGGTGTGGGTGGCCCGTCTGCTGGTTATCTCATTTAGCGGGGCCCGTCTGCTGGTTATACCATCCCCTATTTGGTGGGGCCCCTCTGCTGGTTATCTCATCCCATTTGGTGGTGCTCGTTTGCGGTGTGGGCGGTCCGTTTGGTGGGGCCCGTTTGGGTGGACCCGTTTGGTGGGGCTCGTTTGGTGAGGCCCGTTTGGTGGGGCCCATTTGTCGAGGCCCGTTTGGGTTCAAGCTCATTCATTTCTTTTCGCATGGTTGGGCCTGTCTGCTGGTTATCTCATCCCATTTGGTGGGGCCCGTTTGGGTTGGTGGGCCCCGTTTGGGTGGGGCCCGTTTGGTGGGGCCCGTTTGGGTGGGCTCAAGTTCATTCATTTCTTTTCGCATGGTGGGGCCCGTCTGCTGGTTATCTCATTCCATTTGGTGGGGCCCGTTTGGGTTGGTGGGGCCCGTTTGGGTGGGGCACGTTTGGTGGGGCCCGTTTGGGTGGGGCCCGTTTGGGTGGGGCCCGTTTGGGTCGGGCCCGTTTGGGTGGGGGCCGTTCGGCGGGGCCCGTTTGCTGGTTATCTAATCCCATTTGGTGGTGCTCGTTTGGGTTCGTGGGGCCCATTTGCGGTGTTGGCGGCCCATTTGGTGGGGCCCATTTGGGTGGTTCCCGTTTGCGGTGTGGGTGGCCCGTTTGGTGGGGCCCGTTTGGTTTGGTGGGGCCCGTTTGGGTGGGGCCCGTTTGGGTGGGGCCCGTTTGGGGGGGCCTGTTTGCGGTGTGGGCTTTGGTGGTGTGGGCGGCCCGTTTGGTGGGGCTCGTCTGCTTCGATCACTTTCATGATGTACACCGTGACATTATGCAATCACTCTGACACACAACGAAACAATGCATCGTCCACACCGTCACATCGTTCATCCCGTTTCACTTACTTTGACACACAACGTTAAGGCAAACACACAAAAAATAAATGAAAATCCATTGGCAATATGAAACAACACGATCATCCAACGGGAGAGTAAAATCAGTACAACTGCTGAATGACACAAAAAACATGTTACATAAGAGTCAGATCCCCGGATGCACAAAAGTCTCGTCGGAACAAACTCCTCTCATGTATCATAAATGCCACCCACCAAACAAAGTGAAATAGCTGTCAGTGCTGTACACTCACAAAAGCGGAGATATAAAAACCCTACCGCAAATAACTGAAGAACTAAAGTACATGTGACGAACTAAGACAACAACTGCTCCTGCCATGACTTCTATCCACCTACATTAAAAACTAGATAGTCTCCGTATGTACAGAAGTCATCCTCTGGGATTAAAAAAAAAAAAAAAAAAAAAACAGTTGTCAGTAGTGTACACATGTCTCGCAAAACCGAAGACATAAAATCCCTACCACAAGTGACTGCAAAGCTAAAGTACATATGAGCAACTAAGATGGGAAATTGCTATCACTAATATACACTACTATACCGATGTGTCACAAAAGCGAAGATATACACAACCCCGCCACAAAGAACTACAAAACTAAAGTACATGCGAATTGCGTCTATGAAAACGAATACGAATCTCCCCCCCAAAAAATAGGAAATATCCAAATCAAAACCACAGTACATATATCTACCGCCCCTTGCCTCTGCTGCCTCTGCCGCCTCTGCCACCTCTGCCGCCTCCGCCGCCTCTGTTGCCTCTGCCGCCTCGTCCACGTGTCGGCGGTGCCATGCGTGCCTGTGCCGCGACCAATCTCTCTCTCTCTCTCTCCCTGCGGCTAGCAACCTCGATGGGCTCCTCCTCCGTATCAGCATCCGAAGTGCGCGCCACCGCCATCCTTTTGTGCTCCCTGTCAAGCTCCTCGAGCGACTCCCTCAATCTCGCCTCCTCCCTAGCAATACGAGCCTCCAACTCGTTCATGCTGCTGTGATGTCGCTCTCCATGAGGCGTCGGCACTCCGTCCTCTCCAGAAGTGTAAAACGCAGGCGCACCCCTGCGTGAACCTAAAAGCATGCCCCTGCAAGTGTCGTGTCCAGGCTGATCGAGAATGCGATAACCAGTCGTCAAACTCGGTGCCGGTCTGTGCTCCTCCGAGTCCTCCCTCAACCTCGTCCGGTGCGCCACGAAATCACCCCTCACTCTGTCGTCAACTCGTCGCACTGTGCTCCACGGACGGTGAAATGACTGCTGTGTGTCGAGGCGAGGTGACGACGACGTTGGCACGTGACCTCTACTGACAGCTTTACCCGTGACTGGTGTCGGAGTGCTGTGGGGCACGGTCGGTAAGGGAGGTGTGAGTGAACTGGTGCCAGCCCTGTGTGCACCCCGACCCGCTACCATGATGGACTCCGAACGATGCTGCTCGCACTCTAAGCTCGCCGGAGAGCCTGAATACCGCGGGGTCACAGGTGTGTACAACGGAGGCGATCGAACCCCGACCCCGAGAGATCCTGCAGCTCCCCTGCTAATCGGATCCTCCACTCCTGCACGCTGCAAGCCTGCAACGCATCAGGGTCAAGTGGCCCAGGTGTAATCTCCCCCACCTCCATATCTGCTCTGGCATGGTCCTGAAGGTCAGGTGGTATACCGCCCTTCCTCCTCATTGGCACTGCCTCCTCCCCGACATGCTCTGACGTCGTGCGCCACCGATGAAGGATGCCACAACAGTAACGCTAAGGACGTACTGCCTCCGACCTCCTCCGGATCAGCAGCCTGCAGGTCCATGTCGTCACCCCCAATGGGGCCGTGTGACAATCTACCTAGGCCGGCACTAGGCGACGGTGAAAGTCGCCCCACAGTATCCGCCCCATCATCGGCCTCCAGACCGGGTCCACACCCTCCGTCCCCATGCTCGTCAGAATCACCCTCCATACGAACTGTCTCCTCAGTCCGTACATCATCGGGCTGCAACGTGTCTGCCGCACAAAATCCAAGTACGACGTCGGATACAGCAAGATCTCCATGCTCTGGCACTGTCGGATCACCGTGCCCCTCTGTCTGTGCAAGGTCAGGTGCGAATGGATCGCGATGCTCCACCCCGCCCGGATCAGGTACTGCAGCACCGGTCTCCAAATCCCAAGCACGCTGTTGCTCCGCCATGTACGCGGCTCTACCCGCCCGCTCTCTCTGCAACACCTCCAACCGCTGCTCCTCCTCTCGATCCAAGCGGGCATGGAGCTCCTCCGTTGACTCCGGTACACCAGCCTTCGTAGGACGATACTCGACGTCATCCCCCACTCTCTCTCCCCTGTGGCCCCATCCTGGAAAACCGGTGTCAGAATGTCCGTGTGTGAGTCCAGGAAAGTCACTCGTTCGTAGGTTTGTCTGCTCCCTGTCCCCTGGAGGTGCCGAGGTGGGTGTGTGCTGGCTCGGCATATGCTCATCGACTGTAATGTCATCCAGGTGGCCGGACACCTCGCGTCTGACGCCCGTGGACGAGTCGGCCTGCGTCTGCAACCGAAGTGATCTCCTAAGATCCTTAGTGGCGGACGAAGCTCTGTCGCTCGCCATGCGTGCTCTGTGAAAGACCAATGGCACGTCGTCATCGTCGTCGTCGTCGTCGTCCGTTCAGGCGTGCTCCCTCTCTCTCTCAGCAGTGGGATGAGCAGTTGGTGCAGTACGTCCTCCTTCGTCGTGTGTGGCCCCTCCACTAGGCTCGCCTGTAACACCTCCACTCGCGCCTCGTGCAGCACGTCCCGTCGGCCCGCCAGTACCACCCCCACTACGGGGAAAGGAATCGTCGTCGCTCTCCTGGATGACGGTGCAGTGTGGCTGAAAACCGTCCGGTCCTGCACCGTACGTGTTGTAGAGTCTCTCGACGCTCTTATCTACACCGGGCAGCAAATCCTCCGAGTCGGACTCCTACTCCGACGTCTCCGCCGGCTCTGCTGGCGGTGGGGGCACATAGTCGTAAGGATGAAGTGTCTCGGCTCTAGGACCGAAAACCTCAGCAACTCGCTCCGGACGACGAGAACCCTGCTGCTGGAATCGACGGACCTGTGCACTAACCTCGTGTGTGGCCACTGCCGACCGAGGTCGGGCTCCCCACTCCTTTGGCTCAGGCTCCTCCTCATCATCCTTGTCGGTGGTGGTCGGGGTGTGTGTGTACTCGTCAGGGCGCGCCTCAGCCAGGGTCTCCATGTGGCCCCACGGAAGAACATACCCCCCGCTCCGGTCGCTGCAGCCAAGTAGGTTGAGATTGGTAGCAATCTCAACTAACTGCGTGACCTTCCTGAACTTGAGTTTGTTGCGCTTGGCCGTCAGGATGCGCTCATGATCTGCCCAATTCCTCTCAGCAGGAGAGGCGGACGTCCACATGTGCATCACACGGCCAGCGATCTCCTGCAAGTCCGGGAAGCATGCGTCGTGCTCCACCCACCATGACGCGTACCTGCTCGTCTCCTCGTCCCCTACACAGGCCTCCGCCTCGACGTCCCTCGTCACCCTGTCCGTCGTGTGCCCAACCCTGGAGTGGAAGGATCGCATTTGCTGACGCACCCGCAAGTATGCATCCCCCGCCGCATCACCGCCTGTCTGCGCCAAGAAAAACGAGTCGCACTCGGTAGCGACCTCGAGGTCCGCAGCTGTCCTGCGGGCGGACTCGTAGTAACGGAGGGAGTGCCTGCGGGGGTTGAGCAGGTGCGCTGCAGCGTGCGCCGGCTCAAGCATATGCATGGTGCGGATCTGCACCGCCTCCACGCACAGCCTCCGCATGTCATCAGGAACGTCAACAGCAGCCACCTGTCGCGCCAACTCCTGCGACCATGAGTACATCATGGACATGATCATGCCGCCTCTGTCCAATCTCCTCAACAGCTGGTGGACAGGGGTCATGACAGAGACAGCATACTGAACGTTGCGCCAGAAATCGGCGCACCGGATGACCTGCCGAATCCAGAGAGCCTGTCTCCGCTTCGACGACTCCCATGGGATCTTGTCCTACTCGTTGTCATGAAGCATGCTCTCCAAGGCGTTATGCCTGGCGAGCAAACACACAAACATAAAAAAAAACGGACGCGAATTGCGTCTCCACAGGGTGCACAAGCGTGCGGCGACGACTCTTCACCCTAAAAAGGTGATAAGCCGCGCCGTGCGATTTAATGAATCGCACCAACGCTCAAGCTCTGACAATGGTCTCCGTAACCCAAGGAACCCCTGTGCCGATGTCAGACAACATCAAGCTGGCCACATGGATGGCACAGGGGAGCCAAGTGATACGGCGGATCTCCGGATCGGGGTCCTTTGCAAGGAGCTTTGCGGCGGACGTATAGTTCGACGCAGAGTCCGTGCAAATGGTCAACACGTCCTTCGGAGGGAAAGACCGAAAAATGGCCTTCCATCTCCTCAGGACGATCCGTGCCGTCTCGGCCACTGAACCGTCTCGCTGGACGGTGGCGTACAATAGAGCGTCGCGCTTGGCGGCCGCAAGGAAGTTGATGATAGGCCTCGCGTCTTGCGATTGCCTGCCGTCCGACAAAATGGTGGCCCCCACCAACTCGAACGAAGCACGGACCTCCCTCAACATCGCGGCAACCTTCCCCCGTTGATTAGCGGTACCACCGCCCCCAATGTCCTTGAAGGACGGATAGACAGGCCGCACTCCGCGAGACATGGCGGCCAATGCCTTTTTGTGCCTATACCATGACTGCCTCCTGAAAGCATTAAATGGTATAGCACTATCGTAGCACCACTGCAGAAAGGTGTCCCTGAATGCGGCCTGACCATCTGGATCGTACACCTCATCCAGAGTGGACAGCCGCTGTCTCTTGTGCGTCTGCAGCACGCCCTTAACTCCACTGCCCACCGGCCTTTTCCCCGCTGGGCCCGGTGCGTCCCCCTCATGACGGTGAGCGGCGCTTCTCCCTCACGCTGTCATGACCACCTCCTCCCCCGGCAAATCCTCTGTTGTGGCTGTACCTCCACCCTCCCCAGCCTCTGCTCGCCTGGCCTGCTCGTCCAGGAACCTCTCCACCTCATCCACAGGACCGAGCTCCTCTGCGTGCGACTGCGACGCTCCCGTCCTTCCCCTGCCACTGCCTCACTGGACGTCCACAACTCTTCTATCCACGGTATCGTGCTCCCTCATGTAAGCCACGATACCGCGGTGATGTTGGTTCTCGAACTCGTAATCCGTGTGGTTCCAAATGTCAACGAACACATCCATCATCACCGCCGTGCACCTCTTCAACTGCGTGAAGTGGCGTTGTGCCTTGAACAAATTCCCCTGCCAGACATGCTTGCAATAATTGCAGCGCAGCTTATTATCCCCATGCCTTTTCTCCCATGTTCCCATCCTCTGACCTTGCGTCACATGGCGCCACACTCTCGACTTCCTGCGCAGCTCGTCCATGACGACATCGCTCGCAGGAACGAAGTTATTGCCCCCCGAACCGCCGGCACCACCCGTCATTTC